CCCAAAATAGCTATTTCTCTAAATGTCCGTTCTAGTATAATTTTGGGTTTGTTGAATACACAGATATATAATTTATATTTTTGGTATGTTATATTTTTTAGTATGTTTATGATGCTTTACAGTAATATTGAATATTTAAAAGTGAGAAATTTATACATGGTTCATTCTCTTTTAAAATAACACAAAAGAATGGAATTCAATGGTGATTTCACTAAGGATCGAAGAAATAAAAGAGTTATAAATCAAAATAAAATTAGAACATCATTTGCTGCCAATCAATATATTCAACAATCTGCTCATATTTATAACCATATAAATAAAATTTTAAATATCTATCCTCTTAATTGTTTTATTGTAAAGAAAAACTAATAAATTGGATAAGATCTCGTGATGACAAAAAGCCGGAATTATTACTGAAACACATTTGAAATATCAAACTGGCTGTAGGGTGAACATTTCATACAATTAAAATGTTAAAACTGCAACAAATTGTAAGTTGTACCAAACATACATGACTCTACCACACGACACTACTCAAAACTACCGGCATAAACATGTGTTATTAATCTACCTGCATGCTTTATATCAATAGAATCAATGAAATACAGATGTTTATTATTTATTTTTAAAGTTTTGAAATCATTTACATGTAATTGTAAAATTATATGTATTATACAGTTATCGAAGAGCAATGTCTCTTGATAATAATTAGTATCTAAAAAGAGACATTGTTAACTATATTGTTAAATCTACATTTTATCTTAATTAAAGTTATTAAAGTTTAGTATTAGTTGTTGTAGTTTTATTTAAATTTTTATTGCTCTGTGCCGCCATCGTGTTTATTTTACCAAAGGTTGATTGGGAGAGGATGCTATTAGCATTAAGTCAGCCTTTTCTACCATATTTATGTTGGTCAATTAAGTTCAATAAATAAATAAAAGGTATTATAAATGGTTTCACTCATTAAACTTACATGGACATTTTATAAATTGGACATTTTGGGAATTGGACATTTATAAACCGTTGGACATTTAATATTGGATATTCTCAACTGAAAGAGAGACGTAGAAATGGAGACATAATTATATAGACTTACCACGAAAAACACGTCAAATATTAACTTACGCGTCAACCAATCATACTGAAGAGTCCGATCCAGATAACTAAGCGAGATGCGCGGTGTAATGCATACCTGTGATCGGATGAAACACGCACTCGCCGGTATAGGTAATAAGGTATTGATTCAAGTCCATCGCGATAGCAGAGTAGTTGTTTTTCATAATAATACTATAAGAAGGTATTGTTAAAACGTTTAAAAAAAACAAAACAAAGAAAGCTACTCACTAATTAATGATATTTGAATAGGTATAGATACTATGATCCGCCAGACAGGAGTCAGGGTTCAAGCATATCGGGTAACGGAACATTCAAAGGGACTCTTGGCCTAATTTGGAAACGTGTAAGTACAAATACATACCCACGTATTGTAGAATTGTATTTTTTTTGCTATAAACTCTGTAAATTAAACAGTTTCCTAGGTTTACTGTGCGTTTTAGGCACTGATGACGTGCTCTATTATATCGTATCATTTTGTCATTGCGAAATATAAAGATTAGAAATGAAAAGAGAAAAAAGGATTATAGCCAACTGTTTTCGACTTTGAGGTAAAATCACAAATCAATCTTTATTTTAAGATATTTCAGTTATATGGTGCGATATTTTTAATATCTTTTGACAATTGATATCTCAATAACTTTAAAAGGACATAACCGTGTCCATCTTAAACTACTAACAGCAGAGAATTGAGCTTCTATAAGTTTCGCATAGCACACGCCGCTGCAGTATTCGGATATTCTGTTATATGGAACAGCTCTGCTATTCTGTAAACATCCAGACTCAAATTCGAATCATTCTTGTATCCCAAATCACGTCATTTAGTGACTATTGATTCCATTGATTCCATTTTTTGTATAGAAATATTAAACAAAATTGATTGAATACGTGTCCCAGATATTCTAATGCCGTTTTTTTAGTGAATTTGGATGACACCTGAGTGAATTTGAATTAGGGTTTGGAGTTTTACAGAATCACAGGGCTGCTTCAATCTCGACGTCAAACATAGCGCTGTCACAGCTGTTCATTGGAATAAAACCTTGTATACCTTTTGAAGTAGTAAATTTGATCGACACTATGCTGTGCTTGACGTCGACTGCTCCAGTCTTTAATGAATTTATGACAAAGCTTTTGAATGTTTAGAGTTCAGTGGTTGGGCAGTCACCCTGATTGCGAAAGGTCATGGGTTCGAGTCCCATTTCAGAGTGTCAAGGACAAAGTGGATTTTTTAAGCATTTTTATTGAGACTATTTTTCAGTATAGCATTGTTAATGCAAAACTGAAATATCAAATATAATAAATAATATTTACTTTTATTGAAACAATGTTGCATTTTGAAAGGAACAATAAAACAACAAAATCTTAAGATATAGAGCATGCAAACTTTGGGAATTTTGGAAAACGAGAAATATAAATTATGTACAATTTTAATAACTTTCAACAGAAGGCAGACTTTTTCTTGGGCGACGTAACGATGACTTGGGAGCGTCTTCAGGCTGTTGAATTTTCCTTCTTAACTTTGGCTGACTCCGGAGCTTTCCTCACTCATGCTCCTGCAAAACTCAGTGAAACACTCGCCATCATAAGACCGTTCAGATGGGAGGTATGTATCAAATAAACATATAAAACTAAAACTAACTTGTATAATATAAATATTACATTGATAGTAATTTATTTTACTTATCTTATAATTAAAATAAATTAATTGCTGGATAGAAAAAGAAATACGCAATTCTTCCCTTTCTGGTTGTATAGTGAGAGATAATTAACCAACTACATTAAAAACCGAAGAAAACAAAGCTGCTGCTAAATTATATATTTTACTCTTTGTAACGTAGGAAAAATTCTTCCACAGTAAAGCTGTCATAAATACTTGTTAGAATCATAAAGGAGTTCATATCTAATTTTAAATACAGTGATTCATTATACTTGATATTTGTATTGAAGCTTGCTAAGAAAAAATATTAAATTAAATACTTTATTCTTTGAAAAATACATCAAAGAGTTAATATGTTTAAATGACAAATTCATGTAGCGCTCTCCAAGCCTTACCGAAAATAGTCCGTCTACACAAGTACATATGTCTACACTCACTGTGGCTCACCCCATATCTTATCCTTGTTCATGTCACACTACCATATGGGAATTTTAACCTTACCAGAACATTTGGTGGCTTAAACTTTCTTTTATAAATTACTCAAAAGTCTAATTGAACTAAAGACCACAACTGGATTTATTACATTGCTAATAAAAAACCTTTTACAACATATTTTTTATTTTCTTATTATGCTTAGGTATTAAATGGTTTAAATTTATTATAATCAGCAGATAGTGGTTATTAATATGCTACTGGAAAATATTGTTATTAATACCGTCTTGCTTACTTCTTACTAGTAAGCGAGACGGCAACTGTGTCACAGTTTAATTTCAGAACAGCTTGTTTGAAGTCATAGTCTTTACGTATTGTGATGCAGAAGAACTTTGACATATACATACCTTTTTGGCGCGCTTATACCACAAGATCTTTCTGGTGCCATTTTGTAGCCTTTGACTAAATTAACGAAATATTATAAAGCATTAACAAAAGCAAATATGTAACAGCTCTTTTCTTTGATATGTCAAAGGCATTCGACTTCATTTCTCATGAACAACTACTAAAAAATATATATAACAATGGTATCAGAGGTACAGCTTATATTGGATCAAAACGTATTTACAAAATAGAATGCAATCTGTTGAAACTCAATTGGATTCAAAGGGCATAACTCGAAAGTATCCACCAGAATTAAAAGTAAAAAACATTGGCGTTCCACAAGACAGTGTTCTTGGACCGCTTTTATTTTTGGTGTATATAACGGCCTACCAAATATAACTACACATAGAAATATTTTATTTGCTGATGATATATCAATGATATATATACTCGACTAATAATATACATTTCTGATCACGAAAACGACAGACAAAAATAATACAATAATGACCATAGTAAATTGGCATAAATTCCATAATCTGACAATAAACATAGACAAGACATATTTAATGAATTCCAATATTATAATTTCTAATATCTTGATTATTGAATACCAAAAATGCACGCTTGAAGATACTGATAACGTTACATTCTTAGGCATGACTATTGACAGGAAACTAGATTGAAACAACATGAAAAAATCATTTGCTATAAGATAAATAGCTTCTCATTTGCATTATTTAAATTATCGAGAGTAGCGACAATAAGTACGGCTCTCACAGCATACTTTGCTTATGTGGAGTCAATTTTACGTTATACAATTATTATTTGGGGCAACGGTACAAATGCGCAATGGGTATTTATTGCCCAGAAAAATACATAAGATCCATATGCGGCATCGCTCCCGACGTCTCATGTAAGCAATAGTTTAAATTTGTCGGTATTCTACCTCTTCTTTGCTTATATATATTTGAAGCAGCGAAATTTGCCAAACGATACCCTGATTATTACAAAATAGCTCATGAAGTGTATCCCAGGAACACTAGAAATAAAAATAGGCTAGTTCTTGAAATAGTCCCAAAAAGGCGCAATTTAAAATTAACTGCAACTGTATATTTCAAACAATATTTAATGAAATTCCGGAATCTACAAGGAATACACCTCTTGCTAGATTTAAGAAAGATTTATATAACTGGCTTCTGAGCGTTCCTTTTATTCTATGTATGAATTCTTAGACTATAGAAGCTGAGCTTGAGGTGGATTGATCAGTGCTTCTTTTACTACATTTACATGCTATTGTAAATGACTGAATAGGCGGTAATTGTATTACTTTTGTACATCTCTTTTGTATACCCCATTCAAACTCAAATAAATTTTTATTATTACAAATTTTTACATCACACATACACATCGCCACGCCCTATCATTAATGTGGGATCTGCATTTTAACGATTTTTGTTTTTTTTGTATAAAACCTCATAAAAGGGTGTAAGGGATAATATCACAAAAAAATAATTGTTGATTTTATTATGATTACGAAGATAATTACGTTATTAATGTCGGTAGTGTCGCTTGTGTACGTACAAAAATGAAGCTACTCACTTACAGTCAATTTTGATCGGACATAACTGACGAGTGGATGTGTCGATCTTGTGTCGATCTGCCAGTTACATAGTTAATGTCGGGAAAAATGCACATAGGTTCTTTGGAGCGCCAAATTGTTGTGAAACATTACATACACACTGATTTCAAGGATTTTAAGCCTTATTTTACCAAAAAACGCAGTTGTTGAAAATAGTGCATATAATGATACATTTTTTTGGTATAAGAAACAACGTATCTAGGAAAATTAACAAAATATACTAAGTTTTCCGATCAAAAACTTCATACCTACCATATCCGACTTATTGTACAGAATTTTATCTAGTCGAAAATGTTAAATGTGCCACATCCGACACGTAGTATAGAATTTTATACAACAAAAAAGTTGGATCTACCACATCCTGCGTAAGATAGTAAAATATGTCCGTGTAAAATAGCTTCATGTGACATTGTAACGTATATAAAGTAAAATAAATTAATCTATTATATTTGTTTAATGTATCGTAAAATAAAAAACACCCATGCCTAATTTCGTAATCCTAACCCTTAAAATATCGTTTTTATTCAACTTTTCATCTTTAAACCACTCTCCTGTAAAGTTGCATATTTGTAGATACTACATTAATGATAGGGCGTGGCGACATGATGTTCGTTTATTTGACAAGGTGTGGCCGCTAGTTTGTGCGACTATACTAGTGACTGGCCCAGCGCTGTGGGTGGTGATAGCAGCTCCGTCGTTATGGCAACGCCGCCAGAAGAACCAACTGAAACTCCTAAACAACTGCTGCTGGTTCACTACTACGCTGTTCTTAAGACAATGTGAGACATTCTTTAAAGTTAGCATTTATATTATATGTTATAAAATGTTTTGCGAAATTATATTAACAAAATCTTAAAGTTCAAAAGTTTCGAATTTTATAATAAATATATTTACTATACGTATATAATAAAAAAAATCGTAGTAAATAGAAACAACTGAAAATAAAGAAATAAAACCACAAAATATTTTTCTTAACTTACTTAAATTCGAAACGCAAAAACACACTAACAGGCTTTTTTTAAGGTCTGCGCCAGTCACTTGATCCGAAAATATTACCCGCGTATTTTAAGCTATCCATAAGTAAAAGAATTTTCATAATCGGACCAATATTTCCGACTAAGTTTCGAAACCTGATGTGACATGTGTAACATCACTACCCTTTACAAACAAACTAATAGAAATTATAGGGTTATAATATAAGTATAGACTGACATATTTTGCTGAAGTCTCAAGTATAAGTCTTCAGTAAAATATTTATTATCAGGATCAAACAACTGCTGTATACTTATTATATTCCATAAGGTAGACCGCAGTCCTCTATTTTTCGTTTCACACGGTCGACCGGTGCGGTGACGTAACTCAATTTACTCGGAACGGGCATATTGTAAAGTTACCCTTGGGGACGCTTAATGCTCAGGGAGGAATTTGCGTCTGGTTTCTATCAAGTGTTTCACAAGTCCACAACTCGTATTAATTTATGACTTCGCCCATAACAGTACCTTGAGTTTCATTCACGATATTACTTTAATGGTATGAATTCTATTAACTTGAAGTTTTAATTCTATAGAACTAAGTTTTCCATTCTGTAAGCAATAAACTTGTTATACAACAGTAAACAGGAATATACTCAAGTTACTTATACAGGAAAAAAAAATAACAATAAGTTCGTTATAGTTTAATAATACTTACGTTTCTATCTTTTTTTAAATTTATTAAAAAATCCCGTTTCTTGTATAAGAGCCCGCCTTTAAAGATTTCTTTTATTCCGTTTTTAATATTTGTTGTTAGAGCGGCAAAAGAAATACATATCTGTGTGAAAACTATAACTGTCTTGCTGTCCTCATAAGGAAGCTTAAGGTCGCTTAGAGGGCAATGGAAAGGGCTATGCTCGGGGTTTCTTTGCGAGATCGAATCAGAAATGATGAGATCCGCAAAAGAATGAAAGTCACCGACATAGCCCAAAGAATAGCGAGCCTTAATTGGCAGTGGGCAGGGCACATCGCTCGCAGGACTGACGGCCATTAGGGTGGTAAGGTCCTGGAGTAGCGACCGGGAGACGCAGCGTTGGTAAGTAGGAAGGTGGACCGACGATCTGGTGAAGGTCGCGGGAAACCGCTGGATGCGGGAGGCGCAGGTCCAATCACATTGGAGATCTTTGGGGGAGGCGTATGCCCAGCAGTGGGCGTCTCTCGGCTGAAATGGGGATGATGATGAACGGTTGAAAATACAGCCTGGTGACACACAGATGGACAACGAAGTCCTAGTTTGGGAGTCCGTTTTTGAACCAAGAGAATGCGTAACGTACTATCCATGACGTCTGAGTGAACAAAAGGGGTTATGTGGAACTGTATTCACCTGAAGAGCGGATTCCTACCCACTAAATCCCTTGCCACATCCTCAGATGTGAGTGACACCCAGGAACGTGGACGTAGTGTCAAGTCAAATTACATATTCTCTTAAAAAGGTTTTCTTTCCAACAGTGATACAACTACAATAGCGAGAATAAATTTTCTCTGAAATACCTACTCTTATAATTTTATAGGGAGCTGAATTTGTTTTATTTTTTTTTGTTTGTATCACCACAAAAACTGAAACTATCTAAAAATGTATATAATAGGCGTATTATTGGCTATGATTTATGCAAGCAGAAGAAAACAGCTAGTGGTTATGCCTATAATTTTGTTGTTTCATTCTTAATACCACTGTTATTGTCATTAATTATATATATTTTTCCAGCATCAAGTAAAGAGCCATCTAAAACTCACAAGGCGCGTTTAGTGACAGTTCTTGTATCTCTCGGAGCAACCTATGTAATCGGGGATATGTATTCTGCAAACCTTACTAGTTTGCTAGCAAGGCCTGCTAGAGAACGACCTATAGGAACTCTGCAAGCTCTCGAAGAAGCTATGAGAGATCGAGGTTACGAGCTGGTGGTAGAAAGACACAGTTCTTCGTTGACTATTTTGGAAGTGAGTTTCTAATCATACACGATAAAAAAGAATTATCTAGCTTATTCTTACTTTTAACCACATACGTTGAAAAGATCATTGGGTAATTTTTCGCTTTCTTGATTGAATTTTATTGGTAAATATTTTATGTCATGATAATCGATCAATAGCGTATTATTCTCCCCACTGCTGGGGCTCAGGCATAGAACCGAATAGAGAGAATTAACCATGGCCACGCGAGCACGGTGCGGATTCGTAGGTATTAAAGACTGCAGATGCAGCCATAACCAACTGCCTTCCAAAGCAAGGCGGAGCTCGAGACAATGAAATTTTGGTCAACCATCATATACCAGCCTTTGCGGAAGTTGCTTAACTTTCGAATCGCATACCGAACGCGCTAACCACTGCTTAACACCCTATAAAATTCATTTTTATTCCTTTTATGTTTATAGAACGGGACGGGTATATATGGTCGTCTCGCTCGCCTCATGCGTCGTCAGCGAATACAGCGTGTGCGCAGCGTTGAAGTAGGAGTACGATTGGTTCTCACGCGAAGACATGTTGCCATTCTCGGAGGACGAGAAACTCTTTATTATGATACTGAGAGATTTGGTACATTTTATCATTCATTCTTATTGAATCATATTTCAATTGATTTGTATTTAGCGTAAGTTGGATATGAAAACATGTTACTGAAAGCTCTGCTTGACATTGTCTTTGAGTTTCTTTTTTTTTTTGTAGAATATGATCATAACTAAAGGGTGACTAAAGTAAATCACTATTTCATATTGATTTTTCGGAAACTAAATAAATAGATTTTAAATAAAAAAGAGCTTAATCCGCAAAGAGAAAGGGTAGGGCATAAACACAGTATGGTTTTAGTGATTTCGAACCTCCATAAAGCGGATACCAAGACTCGATCCTGGCTACTTAATATACTCAGAATATATTTTTCTTACATTAAAGTAACGAATGGGTTCAGTTTTGATATCCAAAACCAACATCTCAAAATTAAAGACATTTATTTCTAGAAAAATCAATATGCCTAATAATATAATATGCTATTAATATTTCTTAGGATCTCACAACTTCCACCTCAGCGAGAAACTTTATACGAGATATTCAGCTATTGCACTACAAATAGGATGTCCTTACTTGGAAACGTTCAACAACGTGTACGTAATTAACATATACATCTAAAGACATGAAAAAGTTAATATTTTCGTTGTGTTTGTGTTTTGTTTTATTTGTTTGTAATTCTTTGCGTTTCAAATATTTATTTCGTTGATATTTGATCGACAACGCTCACATGAAAATGGGTAATGTAGGACAAGACCGAAAGGTGATAGGATCCTACATAATGAACACAACAGGTAATAGAAAATTGTTTCCCTGTGAGCTAGTTTTGTAGCCTGGGGACCGTGGTCCAACCGATATATGTTGGAAGTTGTATATATCTTAAGTAGCGCTGAATCTTAGATAGCGCGATTCAGGTATTGCGGCGCCATCTCTTAATTATGTGGTGTAACTTGAAGCTTTCTCCGTGCAATCGATTATTGTGGCGATCTTAGCGCGACCTGATAGATGTCGCCATAAGCAACATTAACACCAAAACCAATATTTTATTTATTTATTACTGCTGGCACACAGATCTATGTACAGAATCTCATAGTTAATCATCATTATTGCTTCTTACTTACTGACTTAAGAAGAATTCACCACTTCCTGCTTGATGGAGAGCCTGGAATATCAGCATCTGTAATTCATCGAACACCCAATCAGACCATCGTATGGGACTGCGGCCTCTTGGTCGTTTGCCAACCACTTTGACGGTTATTATTATTTTTCACGTGGTCTGTACCTCGGCGTGCTACATGAACAAAATACATTATTATTCTCTGGAGGCATGTTGTAGATAGGCGGCTACTGTGATTCTATCTTGAGCTCCCTTGAATCAAGATATTTGTTCAAAGCGCTGTCCAAGGATCATTAATACTAATGTTATAAAATAGAAGGATTTGATTGTTTTCTTATTAGTTTACATCGAATAGGCTTCAAAACTACGAGACCGGTTTTAAAAAGTTTTTCACCTATTTGTAAATATATCATACGATTAACGCATGCGAAGTCGCGGCTATGCGAAAACAGCAAGTTAATTAATAAACTTAAAAATTTATAATGTGAATCCGATAAATTACTTTTTAGAGTTATGACTTTATTCGAAGCTGGTATATTGGCGAAAATGACGTCGGACGAATATAAAAACCTTCCTGAACAATCGAGACGGTCTGAACCCGTCACCGAGAGCGACAGACAAAACAGTGACGTCACAGGGGACTCCCCGGCTACGTCTCAGGTATGTATGGTACAATAATATCTGTGTAGTAACTTATATTACCTTTTGAAGTCGGTTTTATTTCATTGGATCTTTATGCTGTGACAGCGCTGTGTTTGAAGTAGAACTGATTTTATCAGCAGTGCCATTATATAACACTTATGAACAATTTATGTGATTTGGTAAAAATAAATTGAATAATCCAATAAAAATTTGAATATTGCATGTTTTTCGAATTTTCTATTATTTGCTTAAAATTGTGTTGGATTAGTATACCAGTGCTTATAATTCGATATTTTTTTTAAAGTCTGCTATCAATATCCTCTGTTATTATTTTGCCTGTGCTTAAAGACAGGGTTGATCTTGAAACCCAACTACCGAAAAGGTTTTTGGTTAGATACAATATAATTCGCGATCGATGTTATTGTCCTAATACAAAACACTTATTACATAACTTATATATATTTTTTTCATGATTATAATATGACTACAACAAAAAAAATAAAGTTTAATAAAAATCAGTATTTCCTGTAAATTTTTTAGTTGGATTTCAGTAATTTTCATTGTCGGTATGATAAATAAAACCAAAATTTGTGAAAAAAGTCGTGTTAGTAATTTTGCGTGAAGGAAATGAAGGTTTTTTGACTTGATGTTTTTTTTTTATACTTCCGTAGCTAAAATGAGATGGATTTTTAAATATAGTCTCTTGTAATTGGCTCACAAACTTGATTAAAAATATTCCAGGCTTATATCGAATTATTTCCGTTTTTCTCGTATTTGTATCAGGCTAAGAAATGACTGATATGACATCCAAAAATAATGAAACACTTACCTTCTTATAAAACGAGGACTAGAATAAGTACTTTGTTTAAATTATTGGCCATCTAAAGGAAATTGACAATGACAGAAGAGGACGAAATAAGATGGATAAACTTATTTTGGTCGTATAATGGTTTCAGCATCGTTTCGTTTCGTTGTAATTTTATAATAAGACAACTAGTTTCTCCATCATTCGTTATTCTTTTCATACTAATCATTAATTATGCTTCAAATCTGTTTATTATTATAAAGTTTACAGCCAAAAGGTGTACACGATTCGATGCTCAAACTTAATATTCAGTAACACAACATAGCATAACTTTAAAGTAAGCAAAAAGCACTCCATAGACACACACTGAGCGTGTTTGCTTGCTTAAACTTGGAGCTTATAACTTGTTATCAAATTGGCCCGCGAAAACTAGGACACGTTAATTAACTACTTCAATTTGACATAATAATTTTATAATGTTATGTATGTTAAAAAGTATAAAAATGCGTATTTATGTAATACCTTCTATTTTACGCATATTAAAGAAAGGAAATGAAAATATCTTTATTCAAGTAAGGTTGTTACAAGCACTTTTGAATCGTCCAAAAAATTTTTTCCCTTCCACTTCTTCAGGACGTCTTTTAGCTGACAAGAAGCACAACGAAAAGAAACTTACCAGCTCTTTATCATAAGTAATGACATTTACATAAACCATGTCGTTACCAAAATAATATTTATTATCACAATAATAAAAACAACATAGGTTGTACATATAATTAGTCGTTATAGAACAAAGCGCAGGCTTTTAATTCCATGCATTGCGGTCCTTAAAATAATCATCAACTTTATAATAGCCATTACTCATAAGTAAGTTCTTTACATGAATTTTTAATTTATTACATGAATTTTTATTTTTATAACGATTATTTAAATAAATTCATATTAAAGAAACGACATTGTGTATTTTAAACAGGAAAAAGTTAGTGTATATTAACATTAGTAACTTCGTTGCTTCAAATACTCCATTATCCAAGTAGTTTAGCCACTTATCTTGAGATCTAAGCAATGAATGTGATCTATATATCTGACTTCTCACCGTATCCGATGCGGATTATATAGAGAGGACGTGACGTTGTCTTCTATTTTAATACTACCAAAAGTATTTTGATTTATCAACGATATCTTTTTTATGAATAGTGTAATAAACTTCTTATTAAACTATTTATAAATGAAATATCGTCGACGGATCACACAAATTCAACGAAATTAAAATTATTTGAAAATATAAGAAAGGTTTTGTTTCATTGAAGTTCTAGACTGTAACAGCCACACTACCACAATTTACTCCTTCTTTTTTGCAGTTGTAAAAAAACAGTCCAATTGTTAACTTCGTCGTCATTAGAATTAAACTTTTTATTAATTTTTCTCAAGTTTCTAGCCTTTCTAAATGCAATATTGACAGCACTAGTGAAATCTTCGACTCCTTTAGAAGCACAAGTACATTTTACAAAATCCCTTTGATATCCTTAACTCCATAGAAATCCTCGTAATAACAAAGAAAATTCGTGTTAGATAAACTGTTAATATTACTTATTACAGGAAATTATTTCAAAGGACATTTCCATGTAAAGCCTCCACAGCTTAATTCTTATTACAGACTCAGGGGGAGTCCACAAAGGGGTTGGAGCCGGTCTCATTAAGGATGCTGAGGGGCGCCTTTTGTTTGCTGGGCATTGGATATCTCTTGGCTGGTAAGTAGACGCTTAAAAGGCGACTTTTAAAATGGCTTTATTAAAAACCTTGTCAAGAAAGTCTTATGACCAATTAGATGGAAGCATTGTAAATAAGCTGCTTTATGGTCGAGACGGAATGATAGAAAAGAATACTAATTATAAAAGTTATAAGTAGTTCACTTATGATAAATTTATTATTTTCTTCAATAAACTTTATACGCAAGTAAATATGCAAGTTAATTTTAACGGAATTTAGAAAGTCATCTTACAATACTTTTTTTAAAATTAAATTATCCTATTTCAGCTGTAGCTCTTGCTGTAGAGATTCAGATATACCGTCGAAGTAAGAAATGTATGCAAACTGAGATGACGTCATCGGAACACAAGCGTTCACCGGGGGATATATTCAGGAAAGCGATTAAGAACATCGGACGCGTCTGCAGGAAGGCTGTTAGGTCGCTTTGCAGGCAGATTGATAGAGCTTTAGGTCCTGGGTTACATTAAGTTATTGAACACATACATGGCGATATTTGAATTATAATACCCTGTCCTATTTTATTGTTTTAAAAATGTTTAAACTAAGGTAAACGGCGAAACAACAGTAAAGAGTTTTGCAGTAGCACAATTTTCATTCTCGAATGTAATTGCATCGAAACACAACGGTGACAATAACGTGCCTACTGTGTGAGCTTTGCACCGGTGAACATCATTAATTTTTATCAACATTGACGTTGGGTCCATAAAAGTCCGTAAGTTATGACCAAATAGGCGATTTTCTTTAATATATGTATAAACGGCGCGTCTAAATCAAATAAAATCAATCACCAGTCGCAGTTATTTTTGGAACTAATATGTTTTAACAAATTTGAAATGAACATGAATCACAATAAAACTTTTTCGTTTGACACTTCTCACTAGTTTTCTAAATTAGCTTCTTTCCATTCAAACAATTTCAATTATCATCAAAAAACGACACCGTTCATTCAATATCATTCAAAAAAACGTCGCAATAGCAATCTCTACCACACATCAAATAGTTGTAGCGTGAAATTCGTGAATATTTATCATATTTCTAATTGAATCACTTTCAACGATCCCATTCGATAGATGAAAAAAATAGACAATTATTCCCCAGCTTTTCCAATTTCCACTGAAAAATATCGAAAAGCGAAGTGAGTCTCTTCCCGTAACCCACCATGACCAGTACCGTACCTCCCCCACCACTCTCCAGCATCGCTCACTCTCCTCCACGTACACATACTCACAAGTATTATAAATGCATGCTAGCTTGAATATCGTTTATGTCTCCTAGATATCATTGATATTAAAGCACGATTTTTATGAACAATTAATGACATAATTTTCTTAGTAATACTTAGATCCTAAGGAAACATTGTTTATATTTATATTGTGCTAATCTCGTTGTCATGGAATTTTGTTCAGACATAATTGTTATTTAAAAAATATATAATTAGAGTTATTTTGCTTTTTTTAGAAAAATAGGCTTGATAATTTTTATTTATTTCTTTAGAATAACAGATATAAATAATGTTACGTAAACAAATTAAACAGTTACATACTAATTATTTGTTTTAAATAATTTTTCTATTAAGAGAGAACCACAAAAATACTTAATTGGTAGTGTTATAAAGACTTTGTAGACCTAAGTTTGCTAGCTAGAAACTATCTTCGCATCTTTTACTATTTGCCAGTAAACGCCAGCTACAGAAATTAGATTCGGTTAATCTACACCCTATCTTAACGGACCTTTGAACTTGTGTTAATCTTAATAAGACACTAACTGTTGCCAACGGCTTCGTCCGAGTGGAATTCCATTTCCCGTGGGAATTCCGGGAAACCATTCCCTAACGGATACCCTTTCCCTAAAGGGGTGTCTGTAACATTATATATTTGACAGTTGCTTGTTGATTACTTTAATTTTCAAAAGGTCCACAGTGGGTTATGGTTGACTCCGGTTTCACATAATGAAAGTTCAAAGTATTTATTTGCTAATAATAGATTTTACAAGATCTTTCTCTACTGGTTTAACTTGTTTTATGAAAATAACCATCGCAAGACTAATATTTTAAAGTAAGAATTTAAATAGTAGTCCATGGTGAACTATTTTTTTACATTAGTAAGTAATAGATGCTTTATAAAATGGAGCTATGCTCGGAGTGCCTCTGCGACAATCTAAATCAGAAGTGAGAAATTCGTATACAAACCAAAGCAATCAACGTAGCCCGAAGAATTGAGAGCTTGAAATGGTAATAGGTAGTGCACATTGCTCGTAGAACAGATGGCCATTGGGGCAGTAAATTCGGAACGGAAAGGGAGATGAGAAACCTTACGACTCGATCACAGCTTCCCCATCAGAGAGAACACCGTAGAGATTATGATGGGTAGGTCGCCGGTGACGACAGAGTCCTCCCCTGTCGCTCGTCAAGCGAAACGGACCCACGCCACATATCAAAAAAGCGACTACGAATAGAAGACAGACTACAAGTTTCCAATAAGTCCGATGAGGACCGATCGTCGTCGTCAAGATTTCTGAACTGGTTGATATGATGATGACTTTTTAACAAAAAAAAATACAATTTTTCAATTATTTTATGTTACATATGAAAGTATTCGTTTTATAATACGAGTAAAATAACAACCAACCGTGTTCTGTGAACCTAACATTTATAATACGAGTAAAGTGTATTAACCCTTTGACAGCCAACCATGTATCTATTTCATACAAATATGTCGTAATACGTGCGTAATAGGATCTTAAGAAGTTACCACGAATTTATCGTCGATATTAATACAATAAGAACAAAATTCGTCAGCAGTTACAAAATGTCGTTTATTCGAGGTCCCAATTTCGATTCCAATTCCGTGTTTAAGTCAGTTCATTATGAATAATGAATTTAACTTAAATGAACTCTATCATGTCCTTTGCTATTTCCGTTTATAATAACACAAAAGCTTTAGCTAATTCGTTTTAGATCCGAGCAAAAGAATAAAAGTGTGTTCAGATAAAACAGAATATAATAAACTTCATTACATACTATGGAACATAAAACATAAAAACATTTAAAAAAAACACAAATGTCGGCCTTAAGCTTGTCAGTGATCTATACTAGGCTGAGATGTGTCTTAGTATAATGAAATATAAATATAAAACTGATATATCTGAAATATACCGCGTGTTACAAAAAAACCCGTTACCCCGAAAATGGCATTGAGTATACATAAAACTGAGATAATGGACGCTGTCCTATATATCGTAGCCATTGTATTTATTGAAAAAAACAATATCGAAGTTTAGCAAAATTTTCGATACCATTTATCGAAGCACACCGACATTATGATCAGCTGTTTCAGTTCATTGACTTCTAAATCAAAGACTATTATTTTGCCAGACTGGTTATATCTACTGGTATTTAGTGCCTACGTCACAGTACAGCGAATTAATTTATCTAGTTATGTGTACATACGCAAATATTCGAACATGCAAAATATTACACGAAAACATTATTTTAAAACTATTTCCAAAATTCGTTTTTATTCAGATTAGAGCTCCCTTTCCAATATACCTTGCCATATTACTATGCCCGTGCTACGCACATATCAGGCACGGAAACAAACAATAAACAGTACGCTATAGTCACTGCACTGGATTAAATACTTTCGCCTGAAATGCTCGTACAATATCTCTTTACGAACTGTAGACGGCCCATCCAAAATAATAATCTTTATAATTAATGCTACGACACGTCACTCAATAATGTACTCATAAAATCAATTTCATCTAATCTAAACAAATAGAGAAGCAGAGGAAGAAGAAATATCGCGACCTCTAGATAAGTAGAATATTCGTTATTGCACGAACAATTTTTTTTCATAATTAGGTAGTTTCATTTTTATGAAAATAATTACAATATTATGAAAGTAGGCGACGTATATCACTGAGTGTCTTCCAGGTAACTTTGTCTATCTGTAGCTGCTTCATCTTTGAACCAGAATTTTTACACATCGTATCTTTAAATCATGATAACCTGGTACTCGTACCTACAATCTTCTGTTACGAAAGTAAACCTAATATGACGTCAGCGCAGATACAGTCGGGGAATAAATTGAAACATTGATCAATATTCGTGTACATATTTCAATTGTGTTTATGGTCAATTTATTTCTTTTCTAATATTTTTACAATAAAAAGATCAGACTTAAAATGGAATATGAACCTTAATCGGGAATATGATCATTCCCGATTATGGTTTCAACCACTTACTCTTACTACATGTAAATTGTTTCAAGTAAAATGGATTGCTACCTTAGAGTTAATGATATGCACTACACTTAGGTATCTTAAAGCGTCTGACAAGAAAAAATGTCGACAAAGAGCCGCTTTCTGAATTGAGAAAAGTACAAAATCTCAACTGAATATTCTCAATAACTGAAGTTTTTTTATATTTCACTAGTCAAAAGTCCTAGTTTTATCAAACTGCTAACAACTAATTATAAAAAAAAACCGGCCACGTGAGAGTTGGACTCGCGCAGGAAGGGTTGTATCCGGTGCTAAGAAATAACTTCATTAGCTTAACTCTTAAAAATATTTTTTATTGTTTAGGTATTTAAATACGTAAGACAAATCAATACATAATCGGTAAAATCGAGCCTAAAACAAATTCACTTATTCCCCCGAGTGTACAATGACGTAAGATAGAGATAGAGAGGGAGGGAAAGAGAGAGAGAGAAAGAAACGAAACATTATCGTTCGTGTTTGTGTGATGTCGCGCGCGAGTGACTACTTGACGCTAGATACGGTAGTAGTAAACATTTGGTACGGATTTTAATTTATTATCTATTTTATTACTGTGGCTATTCAACTGAATTTTTTGAAAAAAGGTGTATAAAATGAATTAAAATTTTAAACAGGTATGTCGATTGTATGCAGATTACTACGGCCCACGAAATACATTAATTTATTTATTTAACGATGTCTTATGATAGTCGATGCTACTTCCTCTCTACAGACTGAGCCAAGCATGCTCGTTTGCAGGTGCAGCGTGAAAGTATATCACATTTCTCACTTAAACTAGTCTTTACCAAACATTAACAACGTTTAAATTTGTAAATACTAAAAATACAACCATGTACTATCTTATCAACAACAATAAAAATTTACAAAATCTTTGTCAATTAACAATTCCTAATACGTAACGTTCATAATACGTAACGTATTATGTACTTACGTACGTATGTAAAAAAATTAGTTGCAACAATGTCCTGCGACGATTTTTTTAATTTGTACAATAAAATGTTGATCACCTCGGTACTAGGCAACTAGAAGTTTAGGCTCAAACTTTAACATTGCCGCCTGTCTAGGGTTGTCATCTATCCGTCTTTAGCGGGACATGTTTGACTTTTTAGATTGTGTGCAGCTAAATGTTAATGTCACATGTCCGGCGGTATAGTTTTCATAGGTTTTTGGTATACCTGTGCCGAAGCTA